GGAAGGAAGGAAGGAAGGAAGGAAGGAAGGAAGGAAGGAAGGAAGGAAGGAAGGAAGGAAAAGATAGCAATAGACTTCTATACCACTTTATGGTGCTTTCCAGCCCTTTCTAAGCGATTTACAGAGTCAGCCTCTTGACCCCAACAATCTGGGTCCTCATTTTGCCGACCTTGGAAAGAAGGAAGGTTGACTCCACCTTGAGCCAGTCAGGATCGAACTGCTGGCAGTCGTCAGTCGGCAGAATTAGCCTGCAATCCTTCCTTCCCAACCACAGTGCCCCCCCCCCCCGCAAGGCGGAATCATTGCAAATGGACATTTTGTAAAAAAAACTTTTTTAATTTTTTAACTTCAGAGAGGTTTCTTCCTGTCCAGATATCAACGAATGCGAGACCATCCACCACGCCTGCAAAGGGGAGATGAAATGCATCAACCATTACGGGGGCTACCTGTGCCTTCCGCGGTCCGCCTCGGTCATCAACGATGTCAACGCTGAACGAGCCCCTCTTGACAGCCCCCCCAGGCCGAGACCTCGCCCACCGGTCCAGCCCTCCAGTCATCCTCACACTTGCTCCCAGGGCTACGAGCCTGACCACTATGGATCGTGCGTGGGTGAGTTGGCCGGGCCTGAATTCCAAGGGTGGTATTCGGCCGGTTCGGACCGGTTCTGTAGAACCGGTAGCTGCAATGTTGAATAGTTGGGAGAACCAGCCAATCCCATGTCTGACTGGCCCCGCCCCATCTATTCTCCGCCTCCTGAGTCCCAGCTGATTAGCTGGTTCTCCTTTGGTTGCCCTGCACAGGAGAACGGAGCTGGAAAGCAGGTTAGTGGGGTGGGAGAGATTTTGTAGTATCCTTCTCCTGCCACGCCCACCAAGCCACACCTGCCCTGCCATGCCATGCCCACCATGCCACGCCCACAGAACACCACGCCCATCAAGCCACACCCACAGCTGATCAGCTGGGTCTCCTTTGGTTGCCCTGCCCAGGAGAATGGAGCTGGAAAGCAGGTTAGTGGGGTGGGGAGGGAAGGGGGATTTTGCAGTAACCTTCCCCCTGCCACGCCCACCAAGCCACGCCCACCGAACCGGTGGTAAAAAACTTTGAATCCCACCAAAGCCGAATTCCCAGAAAGACAAAAATTAACGCACAATTTGGGGCTGTTAAAATGACTGGGCTGCATCCGAGATGGTAAAGTAAAACCCTGCTATGCAGATGTTGCTGAATATAAATTGAATATAGATTCTACAACAGCACAGGTAGTCCTCGACTTACGACAGTTCGTTTCAAAGTTACGACGGCACTGAAAAAAGGTGACTCCTACACTTAAATGACCTCTGTCGCCTCCTTATGGTTGCATGATTTGCATTTGGACGCTCAACAACTGGTTCACATTTATGACGGTCGCTCTATCCCAGGGTCTCACGATCCCCTTTTGCGACCTTCGGACAAAGTCAGTGGGAAAGCCAGATTCACTTAATGACCGTTAACAACTGCAGGGTTTTCAACTTAAGAAATCTGGCAGGAAAAGTCGTAAAATGGGACGAAACTCGCCAAACACGGTTCATCCTACATTTGGGGCTCAGTTGGGGTTGGGAGTGTGGAGGGCTGCCTTGTATTTCTTAACTTTGGCAGCTGGAAGACGGGTGGACTTCAACTCCCAGAATTCCCTAGCCAGCCAGCCCAGAATTCTGGGAGTTGAAGTCCACCCGTCTTCCAGCTGCTGATACTAAATATCCATGCTCAAATCTAGATAGATATAACAGCAGAAAAGTTCGGCTCAAGAGTTGGTCGTAAGTCGAGGACTACGTGTATTTCATGGACAGAAAGAGCCTGGATTTTAAGATGCACCCGAAATAAAATCCCGATTTTCTTCCAGGATGGAACTATTGGGGAGTATGGAATTCCCACGAGATTCCCTGGAAGTTTCCACTCTCCTTCCGCCATTTTTTCCCCCTCACAAATCTTTGACGTTTGCTCTGCCTTTTGTATGTCCCGTGTAGACGTGGACGAGTGTGAATATGATTTGCACGACTGCCAGCCCAGCCAGCAGTGTATCAACACCATCGGTAGTTTCCACTGCCAGTGCCCGGAGGGCTACCGGAAGATCGGCACGGAGTGTGTAGGTAAGTGTGTTGCACACACGCTGGCCCCGCCTGAAACGGGGTTATCTCATGCACTGCTTAGTGTGTTGCTGGAGCTCAGGTGTCGCCTGTACCTACAGCGTGGCCTACTACAGGAATGCCTAGAATGGACTAGAAGATCTCCAGGGTCCCTTCCAACTCTGGTATTCTGGATTCTGACGGGGTTGGACTAGAAGACCTCTAAGGTCTCTTTCAGTTCTGTCATTCTGTATTCTGACAGGGGATTGGACTAGAAGACCTCTAAGGTCCCTTCCAAATCTGATGGTGTCATGCCCCTGGTGGAGACTGATTCTGAGGGAGAGGAGGAACAGCCGACAGGGAGTGGAAGGGTGGCTCCGGAGGTTGGGGAGGAGGCTGGGGAAGGGCAGAGGCCGGCTGAGCAGTCAGAGGAGGACCCAGGCCCGTCCCCTCTCCATCCTAGGGCACCCAGGGAGGAGGGGATCAGGGAGAGACTGGTCTAAGGGGGAGGAGAGGGCCTTGATCCTCTTCATGGGCTGCAGCTGTGACAACTGGATAGAGGACAGACATGCGTATGGGCCAGCGTTGGAAACAAAGCATGGAAATATCTCTAGTTTATGGTTCCTCTCTGCGTTTGGCATCCTTCCCAGTGTGTGTTCTGTTATCTGTGGATGTCCTCCAGCCCTTATCTTGCCTGGTTTGTGTTATTTTTTATTTATAATTTAAACAGCATTTCCTCTTTCTTGTTATTGCTTGTGTGGGAGTTTTTTTTGTCTCCAGTCAAGGATATTTGGAGCTTGTAAGCAAAGTGAAGAAATAAAAGGGGCTTCACCTGTTTTTTTTGTGACTGTTCATTTTGTATCCCACCCTGGGTCATCACAGACGGGGTTGGACTAGAAGGCCTTCAAGGTCCCTTCCAACTCTGGGATTCTGTTACTGGGACGTTGTTTAGTGTATCATGTGGACCTTAATTATCACAAACATCTTTTCGGACATTTTTCCACTTTGGGTATGATGTTCCCACACATTTTACCAGCAAAATGTATAACAGTATGTACACAACCCAGGAAACTTAGATTTTAAACTAGCTTCAATCCTGATTTCTTTGGGGAGCTTCGTATGTTGTGCAGGGCTAAACCTGGCTCATTGGAGCATTCTTAGGTTTCTACGAACCATGAAAGCAGGTCAACCTGTGAGTATTTTTAGGGCAATTAAAAAAAAACAACTCAAATCTGAAAAGGATCAAGTCAGTGTCTCAGAGAAGAAGGCGAAACCCTCTGCACATGTCCAGAGGCAGAGCAGGGTGGATATAATGTCATAATCCCATTCAGAAATTCCTTCTCGTTTCCCACCCCCCTCTTTTCCGCTACAGACATCGACGAATGCCGCTACCGCTATTGTCAACACCGTTGTGTCAATTCCCCAGGATCTTTCACCTGTCAGTGTGAATCGGGATTTCAGCTCGCCAGTAACAACCGCTCATGTGTCGGTAAGAGAAAATTCACACACACGCACCCTGGAGATCCTATGGTCCTTGACTTACGACCGCAATTGTGCCCGAAATTTCTGCTGATCCGTTATTTAGCGGCCCTGGTGGGCAGGTTTAAAAGACCCAAGGGAGAGTTTTAAAGGTAGAGGGTGGCCCTGCAACCCCAGAAATGCCCTATATTTTAAGTCTATTTAGCGAGGATTATATTTGCCCAATATTGGAACAAATGAAGAAAGACCGCCGAGATGAAGAGATAATTAGAAAGATACCAGACTGTGCAAGCAATGGACAGACTTGCACTGAAGATTAAACAGAAAGAAAAAACAGAATATTATCAAACATGGACTTTATTTTACCAGTGGTTGGAAAAAAAAAGAGGTGGAGATTAAGAATGCATTCATGTATTGTGAAGCAAATTAAATAACCCAGACAACACAACGTTAGTAAAGCACTAACAAAACATAAACAATAGAAAAATCAATAAAATCGCAAAGGGGGAAAATAAAGTCTTTTAGCAGCGTACAAACCCTCAGGGTCAAGTATTATTATGGGATGCCAAGCCTGACCCCTTTTTTTTGCAACTTCCTCTCCCAGATGTGAACGAGTGCGAGATGGGAGCCCCTTGCAAGCAACGGTGCTTCAACACCTACGGAACTTTCATCTGCCGTTGCAACCAAGGATATGAGCTAGACCACAATGGCTTTACCTGCAAAGGTAGGCTAGTTTAGCTCCACCCCTTTATTCTTCCCACACCTGGTGGCAAACTCCTCCCCCTGCCTGCTGTGGCGAAACCAGGAGGAAAGAGAGAAAGTGAAACGGATCAATTCACCGCCTTGAGTTATTTATAAATATATTATTATTACTATTATTATTATTATTATTATTAAAAAGTACTTTATTAAAGTTCAGGATATTAAAAAGTTTACAAAAAGTAAAATGTTAAAAAGCTTTACAAAAGTTTTTGTAATAGAAATTATATCAACATCTTTCAATATTGTTTTCTTGGCAGTACACTAAGTACCATATATACACTTAGAATTTGACAGGGTTTTTTTTCATATTAACTATATTAATTCACAGTTCTTAATTAATAATAAACAAAGCTATATCATCTGTATAGGTCACTAATTCAAGTAAAAAGGG